TGGCCAGCTCAGCCCACCAGGGGGCGGGGCTGGCTGGCATGTGGTGCTGGGGGATTGAACCGTGGTCCCTGTGCTTTTGCTTAGCTTAGCTTGTTCTAAGTAGGTGCTTTAGACCACTGAGCCATCTCACCAGCCCATGATTTCAATTCTAAAAAAAAATATTTACACTTAAAAAATATGATGAGAGGGCCGGCCAAATATCTCAGCAGATTAAAGCACTTGCAAGCAGGCCCAGGGGCCGGGGGTTCAATCTCTGGTTCTGCTAATGCCGGCCCCACGCCCAGGGCGAGCTCAAGCAATTGAGGCTGGGCGTGGTGATGTGCACCTGGTGGATCACTAGGAGTCTGATCTAGTGGTGAGAACCTGAACACCCTGTAGACCCTTCCCTAAAATTAAAAAAAAAAAGTGATGAGGTGGGATTCCCTCCTTTTTAAAAATGTTTCTAGAGCTACTAAAAAACTTGCATTTACAAAATACTTGATAAAAATATGCCTCTGGATTGTACAAGAAGGGAGACAGGGAGCACTGGTAAGACGTGGTGTGTGATGAACCAGACTTGCTTCTTTCTTCTCTTCTGCTTCATCAGAGCCTGCGCTCTCCTCGTTTTTAGTGTCTCCATTTTCTACAGGTAACTCTTTGGTTTCTTGATCAGCCACTTCAGCCTGTTTTCCCTTGGCTCCATTTTCCCTTTTGCTTGCACTTTTTTGTCCCAAGATTTATCCTTTCCCGCTGCCTTTTTTGGGCTTTGTTTCCACATTAGCTGGTACAGATTTAGCCAACAATTTTGCTGATCTCTTGGGCTCCTCCTTTTGCTGCCCCTTCAGCCAGCCAAACTGACTTTCTTCTTGGCCATCTTGGCAGCCTGGGGAGTACGTGCAGAAGCTGCAGGCTGGGGCACCCAGAGCCTTGTGGAGCTACGCAGCCTGGCCACTGCCATTCCTTCCGATGCCAGAGCTGCTGAGACGTGGGAGAACCATAGATATTTCTTAACAGTAGGATAGAAAGCCTCCCTGGTCCACTCAGGTAAAACAGTTCTTGTTACCCATGCTTTTGTGTTAGATCCCATGACCCCTTGCCTGTCCTTCATGACTTTGTTTTCTGAACATTCTAGTGGCGCAGAGCACTAAATTTAGCCCATCCTTTATAGGCTTGTGGCCAGGCATTTCCTTCTTTTCATGGGTAATGTATGTTTCCTAATGTATTTTCTCCCAGAAAAGACTAGTTTCATCACAGTTGAAAACTTAATGAGAGTAAAAGCCATTTCCTGGTGTCATCATTTCCAAGTGTTGTGTGTATTTTCAGCAGCCCTTTTATCAACACTAGCTGCTTCACTAGGCCCCAATTCTTGCTTTGAAATTGTGAAACTACCCCTTTCTGGCACAAAATGTTGTACCATTATCGCTAGTTGATGGATTATCCTTTACAAGACATACATTTATAGCCTTAGGTTTTTCACAAATTATAGACTCAAGCCATAACCTGCCATCTGCCTTTTGTTTATCCACATGATAAAAGTCTTTCTACCTCATCTGATATTGTAGATTGTGACTTACTAATTTGGGTAATACCTTTAGTAGCACTGGCTTCTTTATACAAATCTTTTCTCTGTATGATTGTCCAGGTGGTAGATTTTGACAAGCTGTATATATTAGCTTGAACTACATGAATGCCACTCTCATATTTCTCCACTATTTTGTTTTTTCTTTTTCTTTTTTATTGTGTTTGCTATTTTTACCTTCCTTTTCAGATTTTTGGGGGCCTTTTTTTTTTTTATGAATTTAGTACAGGATCTACATGGTCCCAATACACAGATCAGACTCATAGTGATCCTCATGTTTTCAGCCTCCCAAGCGCTAGGATCACAAGCGTGCACCACCACTCCCAGTCTCAATCACCATCTCAGCGTACCCCAGGGGTGGGGCCAGCACAGCAGGCTCAGGGGTCGAGCCCCGGCTGCTGCGTCTGCCTAAGCAGGTGCTTTAATCCGCTGAGCTGTCTGGCCAACCCGTGGGAGCCATTCTGATAGCAGTAATCATAGTGATTATAGAAAGCACTGACCAAGATCACACCCACAAACGTGCATCTGGGCTCCGACTGAGGCTTACATATGCTTTTCTGGCACAGCAAGTCCTTGTTTACAACCACACAAGTGGCCAGCGTTGGGGTCCTAACTCGGAACTGTTCCTAAGTTATCCCTAACATGCCAGTAGTAACCCAAGCTGTTCACATGTGAGGCTGCTCACAATTCCAGGTCCACAGTACGAAGTTGTGTCCTGCTGGTGCTGGCACATATGCTGCCCTGTGTGCTTTGCAGGGCCCTCGGCTGGTGCTGCTGCTGGCTGTGTCCCACCTGCTGGGTCAGCACACACCCTCACCCTGTTCAAGAGTCACTGTCTCCTGCGTGGGGCTCTAGGGCTGGCCTCATACACCAGGAGACTTCTGGCATGTGGGCTCCTCTCATTCTTTCTGATGTTCTGCTGTGTCCCTTTCAAAGATTACCCAGTACTTCTGGGTTGGTTTTTTAAGCTTTTATTGTGCCTTCAAATGTGGTAGGTAAGCTAAGTGTAGGATTTTTAGTTCAAAATAATTTCTTCCCAGAACACTGAAAATAACATCTCACCATAAATGTGTATGAAACACATGTTTATGATCCCATGTAACATATGATGGTGGTCTTTTCAGGGCAGCAGTTGTCTTTTCCTCTCATCATAGGGTCTGTTAAATCCATGTTCCTATTCTGTAAATTTAATTAGCTTGTATTTTGCCACATTGAGCTTTCACTGTAGTGGCTTATTTGAGGAACTAAGCATGCGGGTCTTCCTAATGGATAAGAGATTTTCATCTGATTTATACTCATGTAAAAATTCAGTATGTATTTATATAAAAAGTTTTTAAAGTGGTCCTTAAAGAAATTCTGATTGCTAGGCAAGTAATTATTTCAAGTCTCCAGCTAAGTGACCACAGAGTCTCCAATGCACTTGTCATGGTTCTACTGGATTTGGTCAAAAATAAAAGTGCCCCCTTTCTGAGTGCCAACAGGATGGTGGTGAACCCCCACCCAAGTCCAGTTACCTGTGCAGTACCACTTATCCAGGAGAGGGCTGAGGCTGCAGATGGGTGGAGCCTATTTACCATGGTCCTTAACAGAATATTATGCAGCCAGGACAGTCACAGCTTTGGTAAACTTAGCATGGGGCAGGTATCTCAGGGCAATTCTGTGTGGCATCCCAGCACAGGAGTGTCCTGTTCCCTGAGCTTGTAAATCATTATGATTAAGTGGTTGTGGGTATTCTACGCTGTGGCGGTGTACTAATCAGGAGATTATAGTTTTACCTCAGCATAACAGATATTTGCAACCAAAGATGTTTCATCTAGAAACATGCATAGACCTGCACAACTGAGGAGGAATTTGTAATATCTGGCTGTAGCACTGACCCCTCTTGCTTTCTCTTTTCTTCCTGGGCCCTGCAGAGTGAGGATCCATGACCTCCGCACTGATAAAATCACCTTGTCACTGTCCGCGCACCAGCTTGGGGTCTCTGCAGTCCAGATGGATGACTGGAAAATTGTCAGTGGAGGCGAGGAAGGGCTCGTGTCAGTATGGGATTATCGGATGAACCAGAAGCTGTGGGAGGTCCATTCCAGGTGAGGGGGCCCCTCCAGTGCTTCGTTGGTCGTTCAGGTCCACCTGGGCAGGCACTGCACCAGCGCTTCCCCATACGTACCTTCAGCCCTGTGAGCAGGCTGCTGTTGCTGCTGCCATCTCTGGTTTTCTGGTGACAAGCTGAGGCTTGGAAAGTGTGCTGGTCCTTGGAGATACAGTTTCTTTCTCTTAAGTGATTAGTATCGCTGTAATTCACACCAGCGGATATTAGTGGAACCAGCCTTCTCTGAAAAGGGAACCCATTCGTCACAAGAGCTATTCTGGTTACTGTAGAATTCTTCCATCTTTAACAGAAAAGGCAAAATCAGAAATACAAGCCGCCATCTCAGCTAGATTGTGGTGTAGCTCCTCGCTCCATGCCACCACCCCTGCTCCAGGGTCCCCTTGTGCAGACTGCTGGGCTTTCTTCACAGTTTAGAAGCACACCGAGGCCTGAAGGTGATCAGGCTTTACCTGAGGAATTTATCATTTTAACCTTTAATAATGAAGATACCCAAGAGATAAATAGATACTATTTAGAGACTATAGGTTCATTAAAGGTGTTAGGTTGTTAAGAACTTCTAGCATGGCCTCTGAAGAGCATCATAGCCTTTGTCTGTCAAGTCATTGGGTCACACTATGTGTCCCAAGAGGCCTCAAAGTGAACGGAAGAGTGTTTTCCTAAATGGGCAATGTGGGAGTCCACACCCTTGCCCTCTGTCCGTCCAGTTCTTACTGGGAATGTGGACAGACAGGCCCTTTTGTGATTTCCATAGTGATACACTATGTTGCCACCAGGTGGTGCCAAAAGGCAACAAAAACTCCTATGCTGGAATCCCAGAAGTATTTGCCATTAAAGAGAACCTGGTATGTGGATGTGGATGTATATTTATATTTATATGTATTATGTTGCTCTACATTGCATTCATTGTAGGGATTGGTACACATGTATAACACACCTTAATTCACTTTGCTTCCTGGTGCTTGTTTTAAAGAGCTCTCAGCCTCTAGGACAGCTCTTACCCCCATTCACGCCTAGGAGCTGTGGCTAGCCCTGCCCATAGCTGCTCAGGGAAAGCCAGTCACGCCTGGCTGGTGTCTCCCTTACGTCACCCCCTGCCTGGAATGTTCTGACTTGGGCAAGCCTGCAGGCCAAGCACTCTGCTGCCCACCCTGATCCTCTCCTGTGCTCTAGTTCTGCTGTCCTGTGGTCACTTTGATGTCCTGTGATCTGTCTGTCTCAGACTTCGTGCTCTGCAGTCTAGTGGTGCGGCTCTCTGGCCTGAGAACAGCTCCTTTCCATGTGCTCTTCCCTCTGCCCCGCCTTCCCCAGCCAAGGTCTCCAGTGACTGCTCCCACTCCATCGCTCTCAGGAGAGTCTCCACCCTGGCCCAGGGCGGCCCAGGTGTTCTCCATCATCCCCTCTGCCCAGGCGATCTCTCAGTCCTCCTCGCAGCCCCCCGGCCCTCGCCCTGTGCTGCAGGGCTGGACTGGGTTGTGGGAATGCACCTCACTTACTAGGCAAGTCTCTGAGGACAGGCATTGTGTGTAGATGTGTTGCATTGCCTGCTGTCTCCTAGCTCAGCACTGTGACCATGGCAAGTGCTGCAGAAGTTTCTAGAAGAGCAAAAGCCTCTGTTAAACGGACTTGAAGCTGCCGACTTCCAAGATGCTCCGAATATGAATTCATATCCCAGAGCAAAGGTGTCACTTTGCACTTCAGGACTTACAGGTCACTACTAAATACACACCCCAAGCTCTGCCCAGGGCTCTGGGACCCTGAAGACCGGAAGGGAGTTCCTCTGCACTCTCTTGGCTGGCTGGTTCCAATTAAGTTGTCTGACAGTCAGCTGGAATTGGTGAGGGGCATGCAGATCTACTTGGGAAGTGGTCCCTAGAGCACAGCCAGAGGGTTTCTGGGCCCCTTGCTGACCCTTCCTTCCATGTAAGAAGCTAACACAAATGCTCCCTTCTCCTCCTCGGGCTGCAGACACCCTGTACGGCACCTCTCCTTCAACAGCCACCGTCTTATCACAGCCAACGTGCCCTACGAGAAGGTGGTACGCAACAGCGACCTAGACAGCTTCGCCACCCACCGGAGGTCAGTGCAGTCAGTCTAGCCAGATCTGCACCCGTGAGAAAGCAGGGCTCACTTGATTTCATTCCTGGGAACCTCACTGCCACCATCCCCTGCAGGCTGTGTGCACCTCCCAGCACAGCCACTGTTTCTGCAGACATTGCCAGCCTGTTGGTGGCTGCCATGGAGCCAGTGGCACGCACTAAGCGCTGCCTGGATGCCTCCCCCAGCCACTTGAGACCTCCAGGGGGTGGGGGAGCCTATCAGTTAAGACAGGTGAACCTCACCTGCCTGAGCTTGAACTTCAAAGCACTTTATGGGCCTGCTCCTGCCGGCCCTGTCCTCCAGGGTGAGTCCCCGTGTTCAGTCTGCTGGTGACCCAGCTGCCAGTCAGAAGAGCCCAGGCAGGGGGCCCAGGCGCCTTTCCTTATCTGACTGCCGACCTGGCTCCTGAGCCTGCCTGCTGCTGCTTCCCCACCCCCACATGCACACACCCACCCACCATATGCCATGCTGCATGGGAGTGGGCTGGTGCCTGGTGAACTGTCGTCCTGGGATGCTGAGCACCACACTGTGGGCCCAAAGGTCATGTTCATTACAGCGAATCACCACCCTGACCTGTGCTTGCTTGTCTTTCTCCAGACACCGGGGGCTGATCCATGCCTATGAGTTTGCAGTGGACCAGCTGGCCTTCCAGAGCCCTCTGCCCATCTGCCGTTTCTCCTGTGACGCCACAGCCAGTTCCAACTATGATCTTGCTCTGGCTTTCCCCCATGATAGTACCTAAGCATCGCCTCATTTGGGAGAAAATCGGGCCAGACCAATTTTATAAATTTTAAAACCACGTCAGAGCTCACGTGGGTAGCCAACATGGGGGCGGGGGAAGTGATGGGATGGGAGTGCCGAGTCTGCCCACTCCAGCCTGCTCCTTCGCTGGCCTCCTTCGCTGCCCTTTGCCGGTCGCTGCTCTGTGCCAGCCGTGAAGACCTGGATTTCTTTGCAGCTCATTTCCTGTCTCTTTGTTCTCTCCCCTGGGCACCTCTGCCTTCTGTGGCTTTGAGTGTCACGACTCAGCCTTCATCCCCTGGCACCTCCTCAGCTCATCCTCTCTCAAGAATGACACTTCTGCCCCCACCCAGAGCTCTGCCCCAGCCTTCATGCAGCCCTTGAGGCTCTGCTGGGCCCTCTCTCTGCTGCCACCCTGCAGGCCATGTTCCTATCCCCTTACTGTGCAGCCCAAGACTTTGGATTGCAACTCAGAAGTGATCTGTGTGTGTGTGTATGTGGTCCTTAGGCTCTATCCCCGGGCTACATGCATACTGAACAAGCCATCTGCCAAAGAGCTGTGCCCTGAGGTAGGTCTTGGACCTGACACTGTCACCACCAAGGGTAAACCTGGGAGAGCAGGGCTTTTTCTTCAGTTGTAGACCATGGTAAATGCTGCATTTATACTACTATGTCCCCAGTGTGGGATGCAAAGTAAATATTTTCTAAAAACTCACTGCCTGAGTGGCATTCTCCACAGGGACTAGAAGGCAGTGCTACCACAGGAGGAGTGGGAACAGGAAGGCGCTTAGGAGCCCTGGCCTCTAGCCACTATGGTAGGTCAGGACCACTCACAAGAACTGATAGGGATTAAGGAGCTTCCACGGCATGCAGAAGGGAAGCCACCAACCACTCTTACACCAGCAGAGCTCCCTAGACTGAGAGCCACAGAGAGAAATACAGTACATCTACTCAGTGAGGATCAGATCAACCCACTGAAAAATTCAACAGCTGGAGGATTTGCTCTCATTAACAAGCTTGACCCAGTAGCTATGTGTACTAGACCATGTACCAAACATGCCCACGGACGAGGGCCACCAAAGCCTGACGCTGTACAGTCCACAGTTCCTTGCCCAGTGCAATGTAATTAGACACTAACGTGAAGTAAAACAGTAAAAGCACACCGGGAAATTCCAAACCTTCTGAATTGGAGTTAGAGGGGAAATGGAAAGGAAAAATATCGACTCTAGACCCGGGTGGTGGTGAAAGCGCTGAACATCCAAAGCCAGAGCCAAGGCGAGCTGTGTCCTTGGTGGAAAACAGGGCGGACTGAAAGTGAATGGACTATGCCATCACCACAGAAAGTGCCGCAAAGGAGCACAGTCCCAAGAAAGCAGAAGGAGAAATGAACTGAGGATAAGAGCAGCTGTTAAGATAGAAAAAGCTAGAAGCCAAAAGATAAACTATGACTCTTGACAAAGAAGGCAGAGGGGCCGTAGGAACAGAACAGGAGATTCTGCCTACCTCACTGACCAGCAGAGAAGCCACGTTTTCCTGTCCCATGTGAGGGGATGTGGTTGGGAGGCTCCCACCCTACTCCAAGTCTGAGAACAAGGTGCTGTGTGCTTGAGGTGCCGGGGATGCGCCCTGTGCATCCTGCCCTGCACCCCAGTGCATCCAAGGCCTGGACATTCTGCGTTGTGAAGGTTTTGGGAAGTTTCTAAGATTGCTCGACCTTCAGTCCTTGAAAATCTGTCATCAGCTAGCTAAGAGGGTAGAGCCAGACAGTTGTGACCAGGGATGTCAGTGGTGTTGGCCTGTTAGTTCGTGAGCACAGCTGCCCGTGGTTTGCAGTGGAGCAGTTCGTGCTGTCACTCGCACAGGCCAAGCCCCTGGGGACCTGCCTTTGTTAGGTTTCCATCATGCCCTGGCTTTTTCTGTCATGGTCTTCAGGCAGAAGGACCACTGGAGAAAGTATTTTGGTTTTTCTTTTTTTCAAGAATTAGCCCTTCTAGTCTGGTGGTGCAGTTTGTTGGAGGCCCAGTCTCCCTTCCAGCAGCATTAGGGAGAATTGAACTGGGTAGCATACAGCTGCAATCCCAGCCTCGGAAGGCTGCAGCAGCAGGATCACAGGTTCCAGTGTCACTTAGGCTGCTTGCCTTTTAAATAAATAAATAAATAAATAAATAAATAAAAAATAAGAGAGCCAGAAAATTTAAAGTTTTAAACTGCCATTCACTGCCAAAAGCTAGTCCAGTGCAGCAGCATTCCAGGCACAGCTTGCGCCAGCGTCTCCTGTTCAGGAAACCCGCCTGGGTCTGTGAGGGAGAGCTGCTCGGCTCCTCACACCAGCCCATCCTCCGTTCCCAACCTGCTCAAACAGACCACCCTGGCCTGGAAAGATAAAGGCTGTCACGTAAACCCAGGGACACCAAAACAGCACCCAGGCCGAGTCCACCGCACCGCACCTCCTGCCCACCGGCTGGCTAAGGTCGGAGCACTGAGCAGGTTTGCCACCTGCATTTTCTTTTGTCTCCTGTGCTTCTCATTGTCTCCCTCCAGCTCCCCACTGAAGATAGAAGAGGCACAAATGTGCTGCTGGGGAGAGGCTCATAGCTTTCATCCAAAATGTTGCTACCTTCTGGCTCTGTAACACTTCTTGCACCTCTTGATTGCTCAAGTTGTGTTAACTCTGCTATAGAGACCGCTGGCCTCGTGGTCCAGAGGAGTCAGCATTTGTAATCCCAGGGAAAAGGTATTGGAATTCTAGTGAGTAAATTGCGGCCTGCCACTTCAAGTGCATCCCACAGTGCAAATAAAGACATGCCTGTGTATAAAGGTGGGGAGCCAAAGGGAGCCTGAGTCCAGTCAGAACAGTGACTGGAACACAGACCTGGACCTTCAGGGGGAACCCGGGTCTTATGAATTCATGAAGAGGGGAGCAGTTCAAGAATGGGTGAGTGGTGGGAAGTGCGTGTGTGTGTATGTGTGAGCTGGGCTTGGCAGGAGGCCTCACATAATAGCATCTCTGCAGCATGCAGAGGGCTGTGCAGATGGTCTGCGCTAACGCAGCCGGAAGGATTTGTGTTTGAGGGCTGGTGCTTGAGCTGTGCTGTCCAGCCTTCACGCCCTGAGACTCACGGGTTCTTTCTCAAGCCTCAGTCTCAGCGGACAGCACAGCAGCTCACTCAGCATAGCTCATGCCTACTAGGCAGGGCAGCGCCTCCACTAGGCCGTTTTTCACTACTTAAAGCCAACTGGGGCAAAGAAATACCTAGCCAGCTCTGTACATGTCAGTACATGGAATTGGGACCAGGTTTCACCAAAATGGAGACAAATACTCTTCAAGGAGAGCCTCCTGCAGGGTGCACAGTGCCACTCAGGTACAGCATGGCGCTGGCTCTCCAGAGAGGGGTTCCCAGCCCAGAACTCATGAGGCCCACAGCAGGATGTGCAGGCATTGTCTGGCAGGGAGCATTCCCCACCCTACCCGGCCCTTGCCTCTGGACATCGGGGACTCTGTTCTCTGGTCTGGCAGTCTTCACAGGGACAACACCACCTCCACCAAGTAGAAATCTTGCTGTGGCTGACCGCTCAGATTTCAGCTGACCAAAGGGAAATTGAATTTGCCCAGCAATGGAGTTTTCGTCCTTTCCAAAAGGGAAAGCTGACACTTTTTTTTTTTTTTCTGGGGATTGAACTCAGGCCCTTGCGCTTGCCAGGGAGGCACTTATTCTACTGAGCCATCTCCTTGGCCTTTGAGCTGCCACTCTTAAGATGAAGTCCTCTGCCCCTTGGGAGCTCACCCCACATTTAGGGAGGTAGCAGTTCCCACCGTAGTTGCAGAATGACTGCTGCAGGCCAGTCTTGCTCAGCTGTGGAGAAGCAGCTTCCCCTGCTGAGGGCGCAGCCTTACCTACAATCATCACTGGCTGCTACTGGCAAAGCCCACGACAGTGGCTTAGGCAGGGCTGCTGCTCCCTCCTGACCAGGGCCATGGCTTTGAAAAACAGCTGTAGCAGCCCTGAGCTGATGGCACTGGCCAGCCCAGACCACAGTGCCTGAAGCCACACAGACCTGCCCGTAGCTTCACCCGCACAGCCAGGCCAGATGGTTACCTGGCTGCTGCTGCGGGGCCTACAGCTACTTGGACAGGGGCTGCCTGTAAAGTGTGATGGCAGATTCTCCCTTGCTGGGCTCCGGCGGGTGCCGAGTGGGCACCGGCCTGCTCCCAGCCTCTGATGTTCCACACAGGCTTCTACAACAGCCATTTGCTCTACACTGGGGACCTTTCCTCTCTCTAGAAAGGGAGGGAAATCTCCCCAGCTAAGCGTGTCCTGCCAAATCTTTTTCTTCCCGTGCCCAGTGTGAGGGCAAATGCTGCCTTGTCACTCCTCTAGGATGGCAACTGCAACAAGCTGCTGATGGGAGCAGCCCTTCAGGTGCCAACACTAAGCGCTCAAGCTTTGTCCCTCACTGACTTAGGCAGTGAGCAGATTAGAAATCTGGGCAGCCACTGAGCCCTCTCCAGGCCAAACCTGGACCTGCCCCTTGGCCCCCTGCCCCGAAATGGTGCAGAGTCTGGCAGAGACAAAGATGCCCAACTGATACTCTGGCTCCTCTCTCGGCTTTCCTGGCCTTCCCAAGGTCGCCCGTGGGAGGGAGCCTGCAAAGGCAGGTGTTTGCAAAACCCTCGCCAAGGCAACTTGTATTTTTAACTTTCCATCAGCCTACTTGAGTCACACGGTACCATTTCCAGCGCAGCAGAATTCAACATCAGCCTCGTTAAGGGCAGGCAGGTGGGGACAGGCAAGAGATCTGTGGATGCCCCTTTCCCATTAGCAAAGCGCAGTCCCTTGGACTACAAGATAATAGAATTGTTTTGTTGAAGTCTAGCAGCTCGTTCCCTAGGAGGCCCAAATGGGAGGCTATGGTAACCTTACTCTATTCCCTTATCCATAATTCATGTTTAACAAGCTGCAGGTTCACAGAGCTGCTCCTGTTAGATTTCCATTACACAGCCCTTTTGTAAGCCCACCAAATTAACGGGTTTGCCTCAGAACACCATGTTCTTTTAGCATTCGAAAGCCAACTTTCCCCTTCAGTAACACACAGTCAGGACCAGATACTTGATGTGATTCCTCCTGGGAAGAACATGGAGGTCTCAGTCAATCTCCCTCCCTCTCTCTCCCCCTCCCCCTCCCCTGTCCCTCTTTCTCCTCCTCCCTCTCTCCCCCACTCCCTCTCTCCTCTTCCCTTTCTCTCTCCTCCCTCTCTCCTCCCTCTCTCCCCTCCCTCTCTCTCCCTCTCTCCCCTCTCTCCCCCCCCTCCCTCCCTCTCCCTCTCTCTCTCCCTCTCTCTTTCTCTCCTCTCCCTCTCCCTCTCCTCTCCTCTCTCTCCTCTGCTGAGGGCTCCACCTCCAGCCTGTGGTCCTCAGACACCAGCATCCTTCAGATACCTAGCTAGCACCAAGCTCCGCCTGGTCCCTTGAGTCTGGTGGTGTCCAGGGAAGGCAGGGTGCCAGCCAGCCAGCCCGCCTGTTTGATTCATTGCTCGCCTGTCTCCCCTATTGACAAGGGACTGTGCTCATGTCCCCGTGCAGGGCTGAGGGGCAGGCTAGATGTGGTCAGGGTCTGTGCTGTCAGAAACCCTTACCTGGGCATGGCTGACAGTCCAGCAGGTACAGGAATCTTTCCTGAGTCACCTGTGTCCTTTCTGCCATTCAGACTACACTGTCCAGATGGCAGGGCCATCCCCAGACCTGTGCCTGGAGTAGCAACCCTCAGCCTTTAAGGAACAGAAGTCAGCAGCCCCATAAGGGGCTGGAAACTAGCCTGGCACTGGGCACAGCTTTGTACCTGCTGCCAGCCCCCCTCAGTGCCGAGGAGCACTGTGATTTCCGCAGCTCCTGCCTGGTAGATGTGAGCCCGCATCCTGCCTGTGAGGTGCCGCCCTCAGTGATGGCGAACAGATGAGCTTGCTTCTGAGCAGTGTGCACAGGGCTTGTAGCAAATCCATTTCATTTTAATTAGCTGTGCAGATAAGCCGTGGCCCAAAGCTTCAAAGACATAAGCTGGGCTCGCAGCAGGGACACCAGCAAGCACACGCGTCTCTCAACAGCACGGGCTGATGGAAGACTCTCCATTAGTTACAAAAACATTTTGCATCAGTGAATTGCCTTTGTTGAGAAGACCAAATTGGAGTCCCAGGAACCCCAGGCCTGCAGTGGGCTTGCCAGTGCCCCCTGCAGCTCCCCCGGACTGCAGAGCTACATGAGGACAGGGAAGCCAGGTGGTGCTTACTGTGCAGGCGCTCAGGGACCACACATCCCCACCGTGCCATCCTGGTGACCAGGAGTCTTTCCAGCTGACATCCAGGAAACCAAGATGCTGAATGGCAGGCGCTCCAGAAGACATTCACCCTCCACAGGAAGCTGCCTGGCTTATCGAAGTGCGGGGCCGTCCCATCAGCCAGCCAGTGCCATGACATGTCGAAGCCTGACAGACTGCTGTCTTCACATCCCCAGAGGGCTGAGCCATGCTGCTTCTGACCTGCCTACCCGGGAGTGGGGCTCATGGTTCACTCACTGCCCAGCGCTTCTCAGGCCCCGGGGACACTGAAGACCTGGCCCTGGCTGCCACTAACTGAACACTGAGGCTCTCCATTCCTGCCCTACTTCCAGCAGCAGGCAGTCTTCTGTAAGTACCACGCACTAACCGATCACGCCGCTGGGGCGTCTAGCTGGTGGTCGTCTATGGCCTCAGCTCACCCAGTCTTGACCTTTTAAATCCGAGCTGCAGCTCAGCCCCTGCCACAACCTGTGGGCTCCCTGCTATGCAGGAAGTCATGTTAGGTTTTTTGACACCTTAACAGGAATACACATGTTCATCTGTGTTCCACCCACAGTCACCTCAGACACCTTGTCAGGGAGGAGCGTAAAAGGAACCTACAGAGGGCCACTTCCTATAGCATGGCACGTGGAAACACAGGGCCTGCCATCATCCAGCTGGGACAGCTGCCCACAGTCAGTGGCCAGGGGTCCATCTAAAGTCCCCAGAAGAAGCTCCCTCCATGCCAGCCCCTGCCTAGGCTCTACTGCAGGGCACGGTTCTCTTCATTCTGTGGTGAAGTCTGAGCCACTGGGCCCTAAAATTGTGTGAAGTTGGCCATACTGATAGTGAGCTGCGCACAAGACCCACCTGAGCTAAAACAGAAGATAACACTGAGGAGGGTGACAGGAGTGCAGACATGTTCTGGGTCCCTTTCGTGTGCAGAATGTGGGAAGACCCCTGCTTTCACCACTCTTAAGAAATGCCCCTAAAAATGCATGCACACACATCTCCTGTCTGCAGGACCAAGCCCCAGAGGTCAGCAAGGCTCCGCGTTGGGGGGAGGCTGGCTGACCATGCGGTGGGGTGGGGACACAAGGCCAAGATGAGAGCATGTAAGAGCACAGTCAACAGTGGAGAAACTCAAGCACACAAATGAGCAAGTGGCAGTCACCCAGAGACCCTGGAAGGCTCAGGAAGGGGTTGTCAGTCACTGGCCATAAGGACAAATGGAGTGAGCTGCACACTGAGAGGACACTCCCAGAGCTGCCAGTCAGGGACCTGTCAACTGAGACAGCCATCTGTCCCTGCTGCACAGCCATGCTTGCTTCAGAAGCTGACAGCCAGAGTCGCCAAAGACGCACACCTGCGGCAGCCACCTCCTTGTGAGGACTGGCTGTGACTCAAGGGAGTGCCACAGCCCATAGCCCAGCTTCTCCAGGGGAAAGGCAGCCAGGCTTGCACACGCTGCCCAGAATAAACGAGCACAAGCCAGGCTTGGAACAAGATCTGGCACTACGCATTCTTCCAGACCAGGCCACTTTAGCGGATGTACAGAAGTGACAGGAGGCCACGTTCATTAACAAACTTTTTATTGTTAGAAATAAAAACAGCAGAGTCCCACATACCATACCGGGCAGGACATGAGATGAATGAATGAGCATTATTTACAGGGCTGCAGCAAAAGGCCTCGGCCGCTCCGGGCCATATGGAGGCTGCCCCCTGGCAAAGGCCACTTTCCAAGGAGATGACAATGGGTCAGTGGCAAAGCGCAATTGTTTCCATGTTGAGGAAGCGGACATGCATCTTGGTCTCGATGTCGATCCCCTGCCAGATCTGAAAGGGACAGAGGAGTGTTAGGGGCGCCCCCGCTGCCACCTGCCACCTGCTTGGGCCCTGCCCACACCATCTCCCCACCCGCCCACATGCCCTCCTCTGCCACCAGCTGAGCCGCTCCAAGCAGGTGAAAACCGGGGCTGTCTGCAGACGATGAGCTAAGTGAAGAAGAGACTCCCATCTGTCTTTCTGCTGATGAATTTGGCGCTGACATTTGGATCCTTCCTGAGATTGTCACAGCAAGTTATGAGTAAGTCCTAAGTCCAGGCTCTGCTGAAGTCTGCTTGGTCACCCCCACACAACAGCTCAGATTTCCACGCAGCTCCCATCACGCCCCCTGAGGCCTGCTTTCATAGGCACAGTGTGTGGACCACCCCACTGTGCTGCCTGCGCTGGGGTGAGCCAAATGGCACCACGTGCCCCCACCGGAGCAGCCCATAAGCTGGTTGGGCCTTTGTGGGCATGATGCTTCATTAGGCCACCACTGTGAATTTTAAAAAGTTGATTGGTGATAACTGCCTGGACTAAGAGATCACCTGTGTTGTAGACAAGCTCTAGCCCCGAAAAGCTCATCTGTACCCAAGAATCCAGTCCGTGGCCACCTACCTGGTGCTGCTATTCAGTCCATCCTGGCCCTGGGGCTATAAGGCTATTGGCCCACAGCACAAAGCACCATCACTCCCAGGACTGTACCGTCTCCTTGGCAACATGGGGCCCAGGATGGGAGCCGCAGATGGGGAGACTCAAGCACTCTCAAACTGTCATGCTGCATCTCCAGGGACAGCCTCAGGCTGGGCACTGGGGAAGTTAGAGTCCCCTGGGCACCCACAAATACAGTGGCCTTGCCGCCATCACTGGCCACAGTCCCCTGGGTGCTCCTCAGCCTCCTGCCCCTGCCCTGGGTGTTACAAGGGACACAGAAAAAGCTGGTCCCAGTTGAGCAGCTCCATTCCTTGTGGGGTGGACAGGACAATCTTCAGGGAGAGGCACCTGGACCCCAGGGTGGCTTGGCAACACAGCTGCTACGGACACTGGAAGGGACCACAGGCCAGAGGGGCTAGCTTGTCATGGAGGAGGCCACAGGCACAAGGATGGGCCTGAGGAGCCTCCAGGGAGAAGCAGCTAGTTTCTGAGCAGAGGGAAAACCTCTGTATCCTGGCCCAAAGCAAAGGCCTCGCCTTAGCCCTCCTGGCCCCTCTGGTTTCTGGTCAACTCCTGATCCTGTTGTCTTGCTCAGGTGTCACTTCCCTGGGTGAGCAGGTCCCCACACCAGCCAATGACCTTCCACACAGGCGCAGTCCGGCCTGTCCCAGTGCATCCACTCGCCAGGTTATCTGCACAAAAACAAGGCTGACCTCTGGTCCAGCTGTCCCCTCCTAAGCTTCCCTTCATGGCTGGGTCCATGCCACGTGCCCTTCTGTGCGCCCATGTGTTGGCAGGCAGTTGGTCAAGTCTGAGGTGCAGGCTTGGAGGACACCCCCTGGCCCTCACTGCCTGTGGGGCTGAGGTCCCAGCTCCACACCAGGCCCAGGCCTGAGTGGCGCCTGGGGGTCCTGTACTGACCTCTTCCTCCACCTCTCCTCCTTTTCCTTCCCTTCCTCCCCCTCCTCAGTTCTCAGCACAGCCTTGGAGATACTGTTCTGGGTGACACTCAGGGCCACACGTAGGCAACTCCTCGGATCTCCTGACACCCTGACTGACAGCATGTCTGCAGCAGCAAAGGCCAGCAAAAGACCAATGCCTGTGATAGAAGAGGAGGGGGCGTGTGGGTGGCTGTTTGAAAATGACATCAGGACACAGGCTGACAGCACAACGTGCTCGCCTGTGCTCCTGGAAGCTCCAGAGGGGCTGACTGGCCCTGGGAAGGGCCCCACGGGGACAATGGGCTTTCCATTCTCCACCCTGTGTATTGCTTAAGTTGCTCTGACCATGTGCAAATATTGCCCTTTTGATAAAAATAAGTGAAACCAATTAACATTGTAAGGACCTTCGTACTGACAGTGTCTTGCCGATCACCCTGGAATGGATGCAGCGGCTGTGGGTAAGAGCTGTGGCTCCTGACCACAGCTCTGTGAGTCCTTGGTGCCGAGGACCCCTACACCCAGGCCTCCACCTTTGAACCTACCTTCAGGAAGTCCTCAAAGGTGATCCCCTCATACACCTGATCCGGCTCCTGGGGGAGAGTGCAGAGCACAGCGTGAGCACTGGTGTCCCCAGCCTGTGTGCACAGCCGCCTCCCTCCCCACACTCATACACAGAGCTGGGCTGCTTAGCATTCCCAAAGAGGAAGGCAGCCAAGTCCAGTCACCCTGGACCCCAACATTCTGCTCATGGCTGGTACTGGCACACCAGGGCCCCCAGCTTGGCCCTTCTTCCCCCCACAACCTGAATCCCCCAGCCCCCAAAGCCTAGCCACCCAGAGCCACTTCCTGATACCCCTGAGCCCCCCAGGGATGAAAACTTCCAGGCTAATCACTGCTCACAGACCGTTGGAACACAGGGCTGGCCTCGGCGGCCCGCTCTGGTGCCATGAACCATGGTGATAACGATAAGGCAGAGAGGTGCCTGACTTGGCGCTAGGGCGTCCCACCTCACACGGTGGCAGTGGCAGTCTCCATGCATACTTAACTGTGTCACATCAGGGCTCCTGTCCCCTTCACTGGTCCTCTTGGGCTTTGGCTAAACTACATCTCTAAAATCTCCCAGGAGCACCCTTGTGACCGACCATCCAGCCATGGCCCAGTGCCCAGCACTGGTGGGCTGGTCAGAGGATCTGGGTCATTCACACCATGGTCACCACAGGGCCAAGAAGAAGGGGTTGCTCTCTGTGTGCCACTGTGGGAAAGGCACCAAAGGTGTGCACAGTGGAAAGAACCCAGAACCCCAATAAGAGATAGTGCCTGCAGATGTCATGTGGGCAGCCATTGCACAAGAACACAGGGAGGACAGAAGGCCTCATCAGGCCGGGTCAGCCTCGAGCAATCAGGGGGGCTAGGGTGGGCCTCCATGGTGCAGCACATGCTCCATAAACCAAAAAATTCAAGCCACATACAGTGGTGCAGAGCTGTCTGCCCACCTACTCTGGAGGCTGAAGCAAGGTAACTGAGAGTTCAGGGCAGCCTAACGAGTTTGTCTCGGAAAGGGTAGGGCACATGCTCAGCATGCATGGGGCTGTAGGCCCTACCCCAGCACCACAAATTAAAAATTTTTTTAAATACATAGGTCAGGGGCTGGTGAGATGGCTCAGTGGTCTAAAGCACCTATTTAGAACAAGCTTAGCAAAGCACAGGGACCGCGGTTCAATCCCCAGCACCACATGCCAGCCAGCCCCGCCCCCTGGTGGGCTGAGCTGGCCACACACAGTCACACACAAATAAATAAAAATTAAAAATAAAAAAAAAAAACACAGGTCAGGCATGGCATAGATGCACATGCTAGTGACAGCAGGTACTCAGAAAACTGAGTTGGGATGACTGTGAGTTTAATGTCAGCCAGAGCAATTTAGCAAGACCTGCCTCAAAATAAAAAGCATGCAGCTCAGTGGTAGAGCGCTTGCCTCCAATGCACAAGTCCCTGCATTCCAGCCCTAGAAACCCCACACGCATCACACATGACATCTGGGCATCTGTAGGAAAAAATCCCCACCCCAGTGGTTGCCTGTAGGAAGGGGCCTGGTGTGGTCAGGGCAGAAAGCAAGGAGCGTCTCGGGCCCTTTGTACTTCCCAGAAATCCTACACAACATAAGTCTTAGGAAATGGCTGTTGATAGAAACTGTGCACTGTGGCAGCAGGGTGACACACCCTCCCTGGAGCTCTGAACTTGTTGGCATGCTGTAGATGACTGACACAAAGACCAGGCTGCTTGTCCTGCTGGGAGGAACAGCACTGGCCACGTCTGTGACAGCTTCTGCTGAGCAGGATTCTGTACCCTTTTGGACATCTTTATTATTTAAAAAATACCAGTCCTCTGGTCTGGACCAGGCATATCCTAAGGTGGGGTGGAGTGGGGTTAGGGGTTCCTGTTCTTTCCTCCCAGGGGTCCAGGAAAGAAGTGGCCATCAGTGTCCAAGGCACTCAGGCTGGCTGGCAGAGGGGAACTAATGACAGACCAGGCCCCAATCCTCAGAGACCAAGGTCAAGGGGCAGGGCCACATGGAGGGTTTGGGCTGGGAAGCGCCCAGGCTGGCCCCCAGCTATCAGCTCATTCCACAGAGCGTCACCTCTGGAGAGTATGGACAGCCACAGCCCTGCCAGTAAGGGCAGTAGAAGTCCAGAAGAGCAGGGATGGCAGAGTGCATCTTCATTGAGGAGTGGTCAGAAATGTTAAATGTCCTCAGAGGCCAGATGCCTGCCGTCAGCCTGGCCTGTGGTTTACACCAGAACATAATTAAACAGTGCAGAGGGTGCCTAAGAGACCTGCACAGTCAGCGTTTGTGTCCCACAGCCGGTCTCCCCTGCTAGGACCCTGAGCCACGACACAGGCAGCCTGGAGACCAGGTCTTGGTCGAAGCCACTGGGCTTCTGGGACTGCTCAGATTGGATGCAGAGCAGCAGGCACCAGTGGCCAACAATTTTACAACCCCAAATTAAGAAAATTGTTGTCAACTGCTACTGGAGTGGGACAGGGAACAATTTGAAGGAGAATGTATTTAAATTGAATGGGAATTTGGCTCCAGAGCCCAGCAGGGCATCCCTGCTGACACCCGCTGAGGCCCCGAACCCTTTCCCAAGAAAGTAATTTGCTGAGTGGGTTGGTTACACCAAGGCGAAAGGTTATCCTCTGGGGCCAGGCAGCAGACAGACAAAAATACAAGTCTCTAGGGACCACTGTGAGGCAAAACTGCAGAGCCTCCATGCTGGCCACACCCAGAAGCACGGCAACTGTCAACGCCAGGGTACAGGGGAGAACCCAGAGCCTCACTGGGAACCAAGTCCATCAAGAGGGTCAGCTGCTGGCCTGAGCGGTCCCCAAGAGCTGTTGGGCCACACCTGGCCCCCAGGGGCCCACCAAGCACAGGAAAAAGGACAAGCCCCACAAACTTCCTTATGCTCTCTGAGCCTCAGTTTTCCCAACAACAGGACGTGTGCACAAGGGCTGGGACCAGCTTCCGTCTCGTCTACACAGCAGCCCCCACCTCAGCGAGGCCATGTGGGCTTCTCAGCCACTGGGAAGCCCTATGGACCCATCTCAATGCCAGATCTCGAATCACTTGTATCATTCATCCAGAAAACGATGGATCCAGGTGACATGGCCCTGTGCACACCTGACTGGGGCAGTGAGGCCACACTGGGACCTCCTGAACCCCAAAGCCTGAGCTCCACTTTCCACAGCTTGGGACCTGTGGTCTCCTGGGGACAGGAAAAGTTGGGGGCTTTTGAGCTCTGCCCCAAGCCAGGCCCACTGGAGCACCAAGGACCCGGAGGCCCCTGTGCCTGCTGAAGCCACTGGGAATGCCAGCCCCACCCGGGGCAGAGAACTCCGAGCGGGAGGACCCCTCCTGTGCTCCCTCCCCAAGCTCAGGCGCTCACCATCTGCCCCACGCACACGCTGGCCGCCTCCATCATGGCCCCGTCAGCGATGGAGCGCGCAGACTCCTTCTCAATGTGGGGGTTTCCAGAGAGCAGTTCCTCCACCACCTGCCAGGTGGGGCAGAGACAAGTGGTGACCTTGGGCTTCTGTCAAGGTCAAAGGGTGGGGGGTGCCTGGAGCCCAGGGCAGAGCGCAGGAGCATACTTTACATTTCGATATTCTTCCAGGGTGATGCGGCCGTCGCTGTCCGAGTCATACATGTGGAACAGAACTGGGGGCAGCAAGAGAGGTGGGGCCTCAGTCAGGCAAGGCCAGATCTGCACAGGAGCGGAGCTGGTCCCAGTGGCCTCACTTGCCCACTCTGAAGTCCACAGCCAACTGAGTACAGGACATCGAGGAAGAAATCTGCCGAAACCCTAGAGACCCAGGGCGTGGCCATGGGGCCAACAGATGATCTTGACCTTGAGGAAGGACTCAGCTCCCCACACCTGTGTCCCACCTGCAGAACTGCAGAAAGGGCTGGGGGAAGCAGCCCTAGAGTCTCTGTCACTCTGAATGCAGGTGATAACGCCAGAGTGTTACATTCCCAGGAAACCAAGTGGGTTCTGTTACCAGCAGACACCGGTCACGGGCCCACCGCCCACATCCTGCTCATAAGCTGTGTGGAGGGGTGCACGGGCAGCACGGGTGCCGGTGTCTCTAGCCCTCTCCTGCCCTGTCACATCAGCTGGCCTCACCCATGCCCCTTGAGGTTACTTCACAGACCTGCCTCAAGCCCCTCACAAGCTGTTTGTTCCTGGCCGCCCGGCTAAGGGGCTGCAGAACGGGTTTGGTACTGTCTATATCCGACTGCTCAGCGTCACCCAGACAGGAAGCTGGGTGGACAGAGGCACCGCCCAGGCAGAGGAACCCCAGAAGCTGGGACACTACGGTTCCCATCAGCCCCATGTACACATTCCAGTGCTAAAGATAGGCGGGCCCCCATGTGGACATTCTCCTGCCCATGAGACCAGGGTGGGGAAGTACAGATGGGTGCAGGAAGTCGTGGGAAAGTCCACAGGGCAAATGGGAGCCAGGACTGTGATAACCACGCTGGGACCCACCAGCAGCAGCACCCTTTGTGGGCTGAGGCTGCCCCACCCCTACCCCTGGGACCAGGGGCCCGATGTACTATAGAGGGCCCTGTGTGGCCCTGTCCTCCATGTCACAGCCCACACCCCAAGTCCAAGTTGGGGGTCACATTGCTGAGCAGTGGGGCTGAGCTGAACCCAGGGGTCTGTTTGGACCACATCACCCAGGGACCCCTCAGGAAGTCACACACTGCAGGCCTGTTCATATGAGGCCCACTCAGGAGAGGCCACAGCCAGCCCCCCTACCCTGCTGGCTCTTCCCGCCCTGTGGTGCCTGGTCCAGACCCAGGACTCCACACGCACATCTCAGCTTCTCCTTCCGGGACTGCTCCACCTGCTCCTCGCCCAGAGTGGTGTCGATGGGCCGGAAGTAGGACATGATGGTCAGGAAGTCCTCAAAGTTGATCTCGTCTGCCAGGCCGCTGGGCCCCTTGCGCAGGTTCCTACAGGAGCAGCAAGGGGCACACCACTCAGCAGCTGAAACCGGGTCATGTCCTCACAACTACAGCGATCAGCTGGCATCCTGGTGGCCCAGGAATGGGTAAGAATAAGCCTAGCCACACCCAGTGCACACAGGAGGGAAGAGGGGAAGAGGCCACCCCACGCCCACTGTCCAGGGCTGGGATGGAGGGACATGGGGCAGGTTACAGTGCAGAGACAGGCACTGAGCAATCTGCTAACTCACCCATGGCCCATCCCCTGAACTTTAATGCAAGGATCCCCACACAACAGCCCAACCTGCTACCTATTTTGGGTTTTTTATTTTTAATTTTGAGACATTGTCTCACTAAGTTGCCCACACTGGACTTGAACTTATGATTGTCTTGCCTCATTCTAGCCACCCTGAGTGCTAGGATGTGAAATGGTTGAAAACAATGTTCATCAAAATAAAGCTTGAGCCAATGACGCATGCCTGTGACCCAGCAACAACTCCCTATGAAGACCGGGCCTCTGCCCCAGCCCCAGCATCCGCCCTCCTGCTGCTTCCTGGGGTTCAGCGAGCATACCAGCCCATCCCCTAGCTGCCACCCAGCTGTCCAGCCCAAACTCAGGGCTACCAGCTGCCCCTCGCTGGCCTCTGTCCCATGCCCACAGCTTGCAGGCGGCCAGGGGCACCCTGCAGACAGCAAGCCCAGGTCACCCCAACTCAGAGCCCACCAGTGCCTGTGGGGCCTGCTAGGCTATGGGACCTCACTCCCTGGCACAGACGCCGTGGCGCCGTAACGACCCTGCCCCCTACCACCACGCCTGGCCTCTGTGCTCCAGCACCACTTCTTCCCCCAGCGTCCTAAGCACCACAGGGCCTTTGCGCGTGCAGCCTGCTGCCGGAGCCGCCCCCACTCTCTACTTTGCCACTTTGACACCTGGTCACTGTCCTCAGACAGGCCCTGGAGGAAAACCTCTGCATCTTTAGGGGTAACCTAAGCTCCCATTCAGCAACCATCAGGGCCCCATGTAAGGTACGTGGGCTCCCATCTTGCCCCACGTCCCAGGGCCTGGTGGAACTGGAGCCGGGTAGAAGAGGCTGCAGGTTCCAGAGGCCAGCAGGAAGTCTGACAGCCTTGGGGCCATAATGTGTCTACGTCCCCGCCTTCCTCTCCGCTCGTCCTGCTGCTCACAATTGGTGGCCAGAGGGCATCACAGTGAATGAGGTGACTGCCTGCTGCGCCTGCCCACAGGCCCAGCAGACCACACCAGTCCAACCACGTGGTCTCAGATGCCACAAGTCTGCCTCCTGGCCACCGGACAATTTTACTTTAACCAAACATTCACAGGGCAAGCCCTCGCCTGCACCTTACCCCAGTAGCCCTCGAAGTCCACATCTTCCAGATGAGGAAGCAGAAGCAGTCCCCAAGCTCCCGCAGTCATCCTGGCCCCTGTATGCCCAGGACATCCCCTCTCCAAGGGTGGTGGCCTCACAGCAGAATCGGGGACCTCTTCTGAGATTAGGTGCCTCACCCCTGGAGGCAGCTGGGTCCCTGCACAGAGCTGCCCCAGCCACCAGCCACAGGAATGGCCTTAGCGCAGTGAGGCCTCAGCCCAGCAGACGCCGCACCAAAGCTTGTCAGAGACCCCATGCTACTGTGCACCCAAACTCCCCACCCACACACTGAGGCGACAGTAAATACGAAGTGTGGTTATGGGGTGCAGCTCTGTGACAGCACATTTACTTTACACACAAAGCCTGGTTCCATCCTCCCAGCACCCTGCCCCCCAAAACAAAAGAAAAACCAGTGCAATTGGGGTCACCTGTTACACAGCTAGAGCCAACTGTTACAGAAACTCAGAGGCGAGCCAACTACCCAGTCACCCAGCCGTGAACCAGGAGCAGTCTGACCCCAAAGCCAACGGCCCCAGCGTCTGTATCTGCCTGGAGGTGCTCTGAGCACGTGCTGCCACAAAAAGTGGCAGAGGAGGTGCCGACCCTCAGGCCAATCTGGGAGACAGCCCACCTGTTGTCGAAGAAGGCACGGACAATTTTGGAACGGATCGGGTTGAGCTCCAGGTCAGGGACATTGCTGAAGTTCTCTTTGCTGGGTTGCAAGGAGAGGCCCGGAAAAGAACAAGAGAGAGTATGTGTCAGGCAGTGTTTCTGTCTCAGGTCAAGCCGCAGTTTTTATTCCTAACAGGGCCCTCAAAAACAACTCAGAGGGCCGGGGAGATGGGTCATTGGAATAAGCTCTTCCCTGGCAAGCGCAAGGGCCTGAGTTCAATCCCCGGTTCCGCAAAAAAAAAAAAAAACCTCAGAGACGGAGAAGGAAGCCAGGTGCTCGCCCTGCCGCTCCCCTCAACTGTACCATGGGCAGGAGCAGGGAGCACTTGGAGGCTCCAGCCCCCTTCGGAGACCCTAGAGACAGATGAGAAAACCTCGGACTCATGCAGAAGTGTGGATCTGCGCCCCAGAGTCCAGATCTCACGCCGCCTGGGGCCCCAATCAGCAGCCTCGGCTTACAGCGCTGCACAGCAGTCTGAAGCAGCCTAATCCAGAGCTGTCTTGTGACCCCATCACACTCTGCCTATCGTTCCTGCTGAGTGCTACTGACCCACTCATCCAGGCTGTAGGGCGAAAGCCCCTGGCCCGAGGATGGCTACAGTTCCTCTCTCAGGTCCTCGGACACCCTGACACCTGCCAGTCCCCTGCTCCAACCAGAACACAGCTGGAGTCGGCTGGGCAGGCTCTGAGGAGGAGCAGGATGTATACTTGCCAGACCACCTGCCAGGAAGCTTGACGGTTTTTTTCTGGGGTGGCTACTGGGAATTGAACCCCAGACCTTCACACTGAGCAACATTCCAGCCCTTTTAAGTTTTATTTGGAGACAGGGTCTCACTAGTCATTAAGCTGCCTAGGCAAGGCTTGAATTTATAACCCTCCTGCCTCAGCTTCCTAGAGTGCCAGGATTACAGGAGTGTACCAGCATAACCAGCTGCTCCTGGGGTTTTTAAAAGTGTCCCCAAGTCCCCAAGCGCTCTCACTATGGCAGGCTCTCATCGCACCCACACACCCATCCACTGGGGCAGCGAGGACAACCCTGCTAGGCAAGGCCTTGAGCTTGGTCCAGAGCAGCAGTAACTAAGCCATAGCCACTCAGCAAGCTGACAGCTCGGCCATTGAGGTCCCTCCTCCCCACACTTCCTCTTGGGGCTCTGAGTGCTGACTTGGAAGAGAGAACTGTGCAGGGAGCACTGTCCCCAGTCCCCAGCCCCCAGCCCAGGGGGCCTCATCCCCATCCAGGACCAAGGAGAGGGCAGGACAGCCATCCTGGGAATGGACAGGCCACAAGGGAAGGACAAGTCTAACAGAACCATCCGGGTGGCTGGCCTGTTCCTCAGCAGTGTGGCACGGCCCAGCCAGTTCTGCGTTGCCCCTGCAGGCCTGGGCTTGGACCTACTCACTCCAGGCTGGGACCAAGGGGAGGCCACTGTCCTCCTCCTCCAGGCACCTGCCCAGCAGCCCAGCCCCTCACACTCCCTGCTCAGGGCCTCATGCTCCTCTATGGGAATGCTGTGGCTCTGCAGGGGCAACGCTGTGCTGGACCCGTGTCTCTGCAGGCAGCTACTCAGATGAGGGCAGAGCAGGAAGAGCTGCTGGGGTGACCAAACAGTGACAGTGGCAATTTGGGGGGGATATAGGGGGTCATAGGACAAGGGAGATCCCAGAGTCCTGGAGGGAGTTGCAGGGTTGGCAGGTGGATCAGAAGCAGGCCAGGGAGAAGGGGACCCCAATAGTGACTGCAGGGCAGCTGCTCCTGGGGGGCATCTGCGAGGGCCCTGAGGGGCTCACCTGGGATGTTTGCAGGATGATGGCCTTGGGGACATGGACAGCTGGCACGGAGCCAGAGTGCATGGAAACTGGGGAGAGGCCTAGCCTGGCACTGGCTGGAGTCCGCATCCAGCTGCTGTTCCAACCCAGGACGACATGGACCCAGAGTCTGGGACTAAGACGTCCCTGTGACCCTCTGACCTGCTCCTGCACGCAGGCTTGCAGAGCTCCATCCCCTGAGCCCCTCCATTGGACCCATCCTCTTCGCCTTTCTCCGGGTCCCAGGGCACCTTCCCTGACTGTGGCCACTAAGGTCCCAAGGGACCTGGCCCTGTGACCCTGTGGGCAGGACAGGAGCCCGGCCACCCCGGCCCGATTCTGACAGTATCTGGGGAAAGCCAGGCATCACACTAGGGCACAGCAGGGAGAGGAGCCACTTCCTGCCTGTGGCCCATGTGGCCCATCCCCCCTGAGCCCTTCCTTCTCTCCACCACCCTTCCCCCGCTTCGCAGCCCACTTCCTTTTCTGGGCTGTCTTACAAGTGACTGCAGGTTTTTCAGATAATGTACAACATCCTTGAGGCTTTGAAGAACTCATGTGTGAACTTGCAGGGCTGACACAGAGGACAGCCCCATGGCCCCGGGGCTGCTTCCTCACAGTGGAAGCCCTGAGCAGCAGGGCCACAGCCTAGGCAGGGTCAAGACCAAGGGAGGCGCGCCCGCCAAGTGTGGTGGTGCACACCTGTAACCCCAGCCACTGGGGAGGCTGAGGCAGGAGGATGACCAGACTCAAGGCCAGCCTGGCACCTTAACTGTGATGGCAGCTCTGCCCTGTGTGGGACCTTAACTTCTCCAGCCTCAGTTTCTTCACCTTCAAACTGGAGATGGAGGAGCGAGTCTCCCCAGCCACTGGGAAAGCCTGGCCCAGGCACCTGCCAGCACGCAGCCTGTGGAGGCTGTGCCTCTGCCCATGCTGCCTCTGTCACGGGATGAGCAGAGAAGGGGCAGCTTCCCGCGAGGGCAGCCCCGCGGGCCCTGGGCTCAGGATCTTGGCTGGGGCCCTGTCCAGCCCAGGAGAACGTGCGGCTGCACTGTGGCGGAGTGGCAAACTCAGTCAGCCACCTCCCGTGCATGCTCAGGGTCACATCCACCCTGGGATCGCTGTGCACTCAAGGCCTCCTGTGTCTAAAAATACTTCTGTAGACTGCGGTCTGACTAGGGGTGCTCAGGGCCCGCATCTCTACATTGGAGCATTCCAGGGTGCCGTCAGCCTACCAGAGAACGACAATGAGGAAGTTCCAGGCTGCTGAGACAGCCATCAGTGCAGTGGCCCAGCCAGAGGAAGAAAGAGCACAGGAAGCCATGGTGCATGTCTTCACTTTCTCGGAGCCTGGCCCTCCGCAGGGACGGCCTCTCCTCCCTGGGCGCTGCACACGCGGCCGGTGCTCAGTAAACAGAGGGGCCACTTCCCAGGCAGGCGTTCTGCCGAGAGGCTGCAAAGCTCCTCTCAGGGGCATTCAGGTTGGAAGACCCTCCCACAGCACAGGCTATGTGGGGACAAGCATTAAAATGTTCAAAATACTCAGGTCCCAGGCCTGAGCCACACAAATGTGGGGTTGTGAAGGCCCCCTGAAGACCTGAGATAGTTTTCAGATAGATAGGTCAGTACCAAACATGGTTTTAAAAAAAAAAAAAAATTGCTGAGCTAAAATTACAATCAGCTGGCAGTGGGCTTGTCCCTGCTGTGGATCTCTTCTCTGCATAAGGGATGCAGTCCTCTGGGGAGCTGGAGCCCTGCGTACGGCTTCTTAGCTGTTTTCCTCCAGTCTTCCTCTCCTCCCTCCCGCTCCATCCTTAGATCCCTTCCCATCCGTGAAAGGTCTACCTCCCAGTTCCCAATTGTCTTTTATTTTGCTTTTTAAATTTTTTATGCCTTGGGTCTCTTGTAAAAAGAGAAACCACGTTATATTTAAGCTTCTGTGTCTCATTTATTTCACTTGCTATGGTCTCAAGGTGTTCTGGTCTCTTAGGGTCTCATTTTCCTACAAATGACTCAAATTTATCCTCTTTAATGGTAGAGTAGCATTCCCTGGTACATAAGTACCAAAAAGTTATATTCAGTTATTAAAGTTAAAGTTGAAATTTTAGAACACACACACACACACACACACACACACACACACACACGCCAGCTTTTGAAGTGGTGGGGATTGAGCCCGGAGCCTCAAGCATCCCGGCTCAGCTCAGGGTTCCTCTGCTCTCTGAGAGGAGGACGCACCAGGGGGCTGGGGCGCCAGCGCTGTGGAAACAGGAATGACACCCCCCCCACATGCACACCAGCAGGCTGAGCAGGGAGACTGGAAAGTCCAGGTGAGGCCCGTGGCTTCTTTTTTTTTTTTCAAATATTTATTTATTTTTATTTATTACATTTATTTATTGTGTGTGTGTGTGGCCAGCTCAGCCCACCAGGGGGCGGGTCTGGCTGGCATGTGGTGCTGGGGATCGAACCGCGGTCCCTGTGCTTTGCCAAGCTTGTTTCAAGTAGGTGCTTTAGACCACTGAGCCATCTCTCCAGCCCCCCCCCCCCCCCCGTGGCTTCTTACAAAAGGATCTCAGCCCCTGGGTCAAGTCCCAGCATCTCCACTTTCAAGCTGGGTGACTTAGGGTCCCCACACAGCCTCTCTGGGCTTTACGTCCCCACTCGTCACATGGGAGGAGCAGCCATTCCTACCATGACTTCCTGTGATGCTCTCAGACTGAAGAGAAAGCCCTGCTGTGCATCAGGTAGAAGGGCAATGGCCTGCCCCTGTGGACAGGGTCAGGGTGTCAGCCCCAGCCACGCTTTCTACCACTGGCTCATACATGTGTTTCCCTTCTCTAAGTGTCCTTCATCCAAACACCCAAAATCTAAAGTAAGGCCACATCTGAAAGTGTTAGACAGCCGATGTGATGACAAGAGGGGAAAATTCTACACTGTGTAATTCAGTTTCATATGCAGCTATTTTATACTATAAAATATCAAATTTGCTGTTATATAAAAAGAATATAAAAGAATATATCTCACCTGTGCACTTAAGGTATACATGGAACATGCATGAACCTGATGTTTAGATGTAGGCTGCATCCCTAAGACATTCTGCGACAAACATGCAAAGCTCCCAGTATCAACCCTCCCCCATCCAAAATCTCAAGCCCTGTGGGTAAGCAGTCTGGATAAAGGTTCTCCTGAGCCCTAACTCCAGGGCTTGTGTGTGTGTGACACTGCTCTGTGCTACATGCGCGACTCTTACTGCGGCCTGCCTGGTTGTCGGGTTCCTCCCGCAGCGGCTGGCTGTCGGACAGGCTATTATGGGGCAGCCCCAGGAAGCGATGGGGGCTAGGGCTAAGGGTTTCGGAGGAGCTGGTCTACACAGAGGCCTCAGCAAGGCAGAGTCAGCATCTGCAGACCTTTGTGGGCCTCAGGGTGAGGCTGGGAAAGAGACCTGGAGCACACTGGGCCTGCAGCCACTGAGAGCTGCTGCTGAGCTGTGGACCAAGCCCATAGCTTTTGCAACTGAGCTATACCCCACCCCCTTTATTTTTTTGTTATTTCGAGGCAGCGTCTTGATAAGCCACTAAACTGCCCAGGCTTGGCTCAAACTTGCAATCCTCCTTTTGCCTCGGCCTCCCAGAGGGCAGGGAGTACAGGCTCCCAGCTCCACACCCAGCCTGTCCAGAAGAGCAGGAGGGATAAGCAATACATAAGGTAGCCCGGGGGCTGGTACACAGAAAAGGGACAGACGGGCTCTGGGTTAGGAGAACAGGGCCACCAGCTCACATTCCAAGCCCCAGCCCTGCAGTGAGCAGGAGGAGCCTGGCACCACGGCAGGGAGGCTGCGCAGCTCAGCACCTGCGCAGGAAGCCGCTGCATCCCTCCGACCGACCGCAGAGCGCCTGCTACATGCTGTCCTCTGTTCTCGGTGACCTGCGCTGGTCAGGCCCCACCCGGGTTGGCTTGCCCTGTGGGGTGAGGGAAGCCCATCTGCCAAATGCCAGCCTGTGCCAGCCAAATGCCAGCATGCATCTGTTTGCCCATGCCCCTCAACCAAACCTCCGATGATCACGCGCACTTACACACCAGAACACAGGCTCAGAGAAGCAAAGCCACACAGCTGATGGCTCAGAGGATTCAAATACAGGTTTGTTCCCGAAGGCTGTGTTTGTTGCCTCTGCATCTCTCACATCTTAAGAATTAAGCACTGGTGGAATTTGAATCCAAACCCTCTCTCTGGCCAAGGGGGGATCTGACCCCTGGCCCATGCCCTTTAAGCTCTAGGGAAAAAAGCCAATTTGCATTTCTGGCCCCCAGACTTGGTGATTGGATCAGACTCAGACACATGACCCCATCAGAACCAATGGGAAGCCAGGTAACTTTGGGCTCTCTGTCCTCCACTGGGCTCAGTGAATGAGCCGTGGCCTTAAAGGTATGAGTTCTGATTGTCTTTTGTCCCATACTGGATAAAGAGACCAGAGGCCACAGGAGGTTTGAGTCCATCAGAATCTGAGCTCCTGAAATGGATGCTACAAGACTAGGGTACACTAGATCAATAGTGTGGCTTTGTTTGGTCAGACTAAGCAAAGTGGCTAAATACCTTCCACAAAAGGTAGGTGAAATGCAGGTCTGCTCACTATGGAGGAAGAAGTTTTCCTGGACCATTACAAGGTTTGTTTTCAAGTTCCAGTGCCCATCCCCATGAGAGCCTGAGTATTCAAGGCTGCTGCAGCTGTTAGAAAGTCTAGGGCAGAAATCTGTTCGCTTGGCTGTGTACACTCTGCTTGCTGTGGCTCCACTTGCAGCCACCTGCCCACTTTGTGGCCTGCCCACTTTGTGGCCTGCCCACTTTGTGATCAGCGGTTTGCTGAGGAAGACCTCTCACCAGCTGCTGTAAGTAACAGCCAGCAGCTGAGGCACAGTTCCAGGGCTCCTCCCAGAAGAGGGGAACTTCCATACAAGGGTAAACTTAGAAGCTATCTAAAAACTCAGCTTTGGGGGCCAGGGAGATGGCTCGGTGGAATAAGCGCTTCCCTGGCAAGCGCAAGGGTCTGAGTTCAATCCCCGGTTCCACCAAAAAAAATAAATAAAAACTCAGCTTTTCAAAGTGGGGTCTGGCCCCTAGGGCAACACCAGAGCCTCAAACCCTGACAAGGAAGGCAGAGCAGGCCAGGGCGTTCGAAGGCTCCCTAACCCACCCCACCCTCCACTCCGGGTCCCTTTTCCTGATCCCAACAGAAAGATGTGGCTTGTTCCCTCCCCCTGGGGAACGTGGAGAACGAAAGAAGTGGCGCAGCGCAGGGCCTGCTCCAGGGCCACACAGTGCTGGGAGAAAGAGCTGACACAGCCGCCAGGAGAGCCGGCCGGGCCACGTGGTGCCGCCCCACCCTTACCGGATGGTGGGCTGGTCTCCACTCAGCTGCTTGAACCTTCGGTGGAGCTGCTCGATCTGGTCCGACGAAACTGGGAATGGGGAAGGAAGCAAAGAACCAGTCACTGACCACCGGGCGCAGGTTCGCGATCCTGCCCTCATCAGGCCACTGTTACCCTCTGACCAAGCACATGGGATGAGGAAGTAAAGGGACCGCCTACCCTAGGGCCAGTGTCATCCACAACAGCTCCCCTGCCCCCCACAATGGGGAGCTGGGTCCAGCTTGGGGAAGGCTTTCTGAAGCAGCAGCCTGGCTGAGGTCCACACCCCATCCTCCCAGAACCCCACGACTGCGCCCACATCTCCTCCTGCTGCAGAAGTAGCGCCTTTCCAGGCCAAGCTGTCACCTTCCTGCCTGCTTTGGGGGCCTCAGGCTCATGCCACGCTCTCCTGGGGAACGCACTGCGCAGGGCTGCGAGCATCCCCGGCAGCTGTGGACACTAGGAGACTCAGTTAGGTTGCCAACTGGCCGGGCAGGCCACCACGTACTAGCTCCTCTCTCCCTCTCCACAGCCTGGAGGGAGCTGGAGCCCTGTGTGGCTCATGCAGACACTGGTACCTGGAAAGAGAGGACCAGCAGGAGCAAGGTTTGCTGTTTGGAAGAGTACCACCCTCTATGTCACAGGCCCCTAGTCAGGACATCGGCCCTCCCACTAGCTCTGCAGTCCCATTCCCAGTAGGTCCTTCACAGGAATGTGTGCCCATGTTCACACCTATGCATGCTCGGAATTGCTTGAAACTGGAAACTACCCTGGGGTCCAGCAGTGGCAGAATAATTAAGGTGCTAAATGTGTGGCAGTCAAGCTGTGGAACAGTATGCGACAAAAATGAACGACACATGTAACAACTTAAGAAACCAGGCATGTATGATTTTATTTGCAGAAAGCTCAAACCTGGAAAAATTCACTTAATGCCTCAGAAGTCAGGATAGTGGCTATCCAGAGAGGGGACAGTAATTTGAGAGAAAAAGGAGGATTTTTGGGGTCTGGGGATACTCTACTTCTACTTCCTGGTCTGGCCACAGGTGACACAAGCATGTTCTTGGAAATTTATGGAGCTGCATGCTCAGGAGTGACCGCTTTCCTCTATGTGCACTAGGTCACCACTACAAATCTCCTTAAAGACTCAGTAATCCCACCTGGTGGGAATTTATCCTGAAAAAAAAAAAAAAAATGAGCTCAGGGGCTGGCCCGATAGCTCAACGAATTAAGGCACCTGCTTAGGCAGGTCTGCTTAGGCAGACGCAGGGACCGGGGTTCGATCCTGGTGTGCTGTGCTGGTCCTGCTCCCAGGGCGAGATAAGGGAGTGATTGAGACTGGGCGTGGTGGCACACCTGTAGTCCCAGCGCTGGGGAGGCTGAAAACAGGAGACTCACTGAGTCCGATCTGTGTAGTGAGACCCTGCAGAGCCTGTACTAAATACATTTAAAGAAAAAAAAAAAAAAAAAGAGCTCAGAAAGTACCAAAAAGATGAATCCATGAATGGGATAACTTCTGCACTCCTTGCTCAAGTCTAATATCCCTTATCCAAAACACTGGGGACTAGAAGTGTTTTAGATTGAGAATTTTTTTTTTCAAATTTTGAAATATTTACATCTACTTATGGAAACATCTTGGGAACAGGAATTAAATATAAACGTGCTACGCAAATGCAATATACGCTATGTGCCTCCTGGAGGTAACTGTACACGATACCGTCAACTTGTGCAGGAGGCCAACTTAGCGTACGTGGAACCTCCAGACCTGCGGCACTGTGCCAACACGCATGCGCCAGACTTTGGAGCATCTTGGGTTTTCACGTTAGGGACACTCAACCGCTAACAGCTAAAAATGCCACTCAACCTAAGTGTCCACCACAAGCAGACAGGTCAAAGACTTTAAAGGAACACATGTAACCAGTTTTTATTTAAAAAGATGCTGCCTTGATAAGTGACAATTGCTGGGGGAGATGGCTCAGTGGATAAGGGCCTCCCTGGCAAGCATAAGGGCCTGAGTTCAATTCCCAGTTCTGCCAAAAAAAAAAAAAAAAAAATAGATAAATAATAATAATAATAATAATAAGTGACAATTGTGATTGAGGTGCACTGGTACCTATAGTACCACCACTCCGCAGGCTGAGGTAGAAGGATGGCTTGAGCCCCAGGGGTGTGAGGCCAGCCTGGACAAGAGTGAGTCTGTGACCCCAAAACCCAAAAAGTGACAATTATGGGTTTGACTCAGAAAAGCAGTCCAACCACTATGTCTGAAGGCAGCCTGCCATGTAGCAGCTTGGTGCTACTGGGGTGGGGGGTATAAACACACACAAATGTGTACAGCGATTTAAAAATCATACTTATTTTCCTCTAAATGGTAGTAATTAACTCTCATCTAAATATTGGGACCGAAGACTGTTTTACCTTCCCGCAGGGCTGGAGACTGAACGCGGAGCCACACACCTGCCGGATAACCAGTGCACTACAGAGCTCCGTCCCGAGCACTTCACCGGGAGACAAGGCCCAGGCTGGGCTCCAACCGGTGACCCTCTTGCCTCACTGTCCTGAGTAGCTGGGATTGCGGGCGTGACCACTGTCCCCGAGTTCATTTCCCTTTTGCCTGTTTTCCAGTTTTTCTCCATAAATGTTGACGCACTACTGCTCAGCACACACAAGGCCCTTAAGGCCCAGCCGAGGGATCTAACACACACCGCTATGAGGAGCGCACAAGCAAGCACACGGCTCCGCGCGGCGCACACTCTTCTCAGCTGGCGGAGGAGCGAGTTGGGGCTTAGAGCACTCAGGAACTTGCTCACAGCTGTGAACCTGCAGGGAGCTGTGGCCACAACGCCAGCTCAGGGCGTCTAGGCACGTGCGGTTTTGTCTTGCTTTTTTGTCTTGCTTTGTTTTCTTTGCAGTGCTGGGCACTGAACATGGGACCTCCACGTGGAGCCACGGGCTGGGCTCAGCTGCAAGGTGGGAGGCCCAGCCTGCCTGCACCCTCACCTGCTTCTGTTCTCTGTCTGCTTTCATTTCTTCTGCCACCCCACACTGCCTCTCTTTGTGCGGTCACAGGAGGCGTCTGGCTGTGACCCACAGATTTAAAAGACACTCATGCAATGGGAAAAAGCGACCAGAAGGCGCCCAGGCACCTAAGCAGCCGCTGCCAAGTGCAGTCGCAAGTGAGCCGGGCCAGGCACAAGCACCACCACACGCAGACGGGATCCTGTTGGCAGGAGATGTCCAGAGGTCTGTGTGCGCTGAGACAGACCACCAGGGCTTGCCTGGGGTGGGGGAGGGGAGGGACTCGCTGCTCAGAGGCTCGGGATGGGACAATCCTTCGATTATACTAAAATTAAGTGAATTTCACAGTGGGGGAATTCTGGGTTCATATAGCCATTTGAAAGCCAGGCACAATGGCTTGCATCTGTAATCTCAGCGACTGGTGGCTAACGCAGGAGAATCATGAGTTCAAGGCCAGCCTGGGCAACTCGGTAAGACATCATCACAAGGGCAGACATTAAATGAGCATTTACCGTGCCCCGGGCTCTGTGCTCAGCTCTGCTGTTGATAAACTGTGGCCCGCTTGGCAATCCTCCCAGATGGGTGTGAGCCTCTACCCCACTATCTAGAGGTTAGAACACACTGGGACTGGGGACAGGATCTCACTCTGTAGTCCAGGATGGCCTTAAACTCACTCACTAGCCCAGGCTGCTGGTAAACGTGCAGAGATCCTCCTGCCTCAGCCTCCTGGCGCTGGGAGTACAGATGTGCTCCACCATGCCCAGCTCAACCAGTCTGTAATGAAAGGTTTCCAGCTGAATGTACCCAAGTTCATGTGCACAGCAGAAGCGTGTCCCCCCACCCATCCTGCATGATCTAAGGCGCAGGATCAGGAAGACACCTCCTTCCTCTGAGCTCTGCCTCTTTGATCATTTCTGTCTCTGTCTCTCTCTCTCTTTCTCTCTCTATATATATATATTTAT